ATAAATCTCAAAACGAGCATTGTTCGCATCACAGTCTAGTTGCAGGCAACTAGATTAACGTTCTGACCGTAAGATTTGAAGCTGCTTTCATAGCAATATGATCAAATCCCAGAAAACAACCTGTTTGATGTTGATTCTTGAGTAAATTGTTCATTAAGCAGTCACTCAACCTAAAAGGAATAGAAATTACAAACAAATAAAAAGCATTGATTTTTTTTGCTAAAGCATACGTATCCTTCTATTGAAAGCCTATTGGACACTAAATATAAGCACTCCTTCCAATGGGAATTCAAATCTTGATTTGCCACATTGTGAGAAATTAGTATCTTCTGTTAGACCTAACTGCTATCGATAAACACATTGAATTTTTTTTTTGGGTTAGACATTGAATTTTAATTTGAGATATGGAAACAATAGACCTTGTCCAACAAGCCTAATAAATAATAATAATTGGGCTTTCCATTCATATCGGAATCCCTTAGTTCAAGGAGGCCACAATGAACGGCACCTTTTTTCGGGCCAACAATAATTTAGCTCATCTTAATTATTTTTAATTTACGTAAAGAGGAAATAGACTAGATATGAACAGAATGTGTTTCAAAAATGAAAAATCCAATATGTGGTATGGCAAAAAAATTTTCCCCCTTTGCCAGGCACAGACATCTTTCATTGTTTAATAATTTTATATTACAACAGTTTTTGGGTGTCCAGAACAGGTTTGGGCCAAGTTCTACAGCAAACGGCTTGTGAGTCTCTTGCCTCCGTGAGTAATCTTTAACGAATATGGACCGACAAGGCCCAATCGCCAATTAACTTACCTCCCGAACTAAAATTTTAAAACAATTTCATTGGCTCGTTTACTAGACATTTTGGCGTCCATTTGTGTTTATTACTGAAGTCTTATTCTGATTTAAGTCAATTTTCCACACCTTGGCGGCAAACAATGAATAGCCCGACCTAGACAGCCAGACACCTTGGAACTTCAAGTGCAACTCATGATATCAATATGATAATTAACGGCCACCATTCAACACCCCACCCCAACCCACCCCACCCCACCGGAAACCACCACGGTCGGAGACATGTGGAGTTGCCCGCTTAACATATGACTACGCCGAGTTTGTGTCAAATTTTCGTATATACCAAAACACTAGCTAGGTTGCCTGCAAACACATCGGAAAAATGCCTCCAAATTACGTCTTCCTAGAAACAAGGTGAAAAAAATTGATAGATACTAACTCCTAACCTAACTATAGATAACAATGCTAGCAAGTAGCAACATTGTGGGAATAACTAATCCGCCACAAATGGAGTAATACACGGCCTAGATTAAATTACAAAGCCCAGACCCGGAGAAAATACCGAAAATGCTGCATGGAATATTAGAGGCAAAGCCGAGCAAATAGCTTCGATGGAAACCAAAATGAGTAGATATCTATTTCTAGCCCCTTTGACGCTTTTTTCCAGCCTTGGCAGCACTTCCTTGTGCCTTGGATGAACTTGATCCCTTATCCTTCGTGTCTTTTGCCTTTTCTGTTGAATCAGCCGAGAACTCATTCTTGGCATCTTTTGTCTTTGATGAACCAGATTTGACCTTGCCAGTTGCATTAACATTGGACTTTCCAACACTTTTGGGTGGTCTCCCCTTAGAAGCAGGAGTACTTGATGTTTCTTTCTTGGGTTTTCTTGGGGTTTCTTGCTTGGGCTTAGAATCGCTCTTTGATTTGCTGGCCTTGGGAGTGTCAACGTCGTTGGATTCAGTCATCACTGGTGTAGCATCAGCCGACTTATTGGAACCACTTTTCGAGCCATGATCCTTTGATTTTCTACTAATGCCATCCTCCGATTTGCCGATGCTCTTGGAATCTTTGGCTTTGCTATCAACTTTGCTGCCATCTTTCGACTTATTGCCAGCCTTTGTGGATGCGCCCTTCGATTTGCTGGATGCAGCTCCTCCACTGCTAACATTTACAATTCAGAATCTAGATATCAAATAATGGACGACAAGGAAATTAATTTATGATTTCCACACCTCTTGGCAAGAGAATCCGTAATTCTTCCCTTGGTTGACTGACCAGCACTTCTTTTCCTCTTCTTATTTGAAGGCCTATATATAATCATAGAAAGAGAGAGAGAATAAGAATGAGGCCCCAGAAAAATCTCAAGACATACAGTTAGAAAACATACCATGTATTTTCTGCTACAACAATATAAAGAATCACCAGAGTCAACCGAATGGAATAAATCCAATTGAAATTTTACCATAGGAAAAAGACAATACTACACTAATGTAAATTTTGAAACACGACTGAAAATAATCAACTCATAAATTGATGAATGAAGATGGGCGAGTAAATCTACCTTAGGATCATTAAGTGTCCCATAAGGTCTCAGCTCCATTATTACCACTATGTTTCTGAGCCATCATATTCTTTATTTATATTTATGTCAAATCAAAATATTTTCACCCACTTCTGGTCACCCAATCTATTAGAGATCTTAGAGCTGAAGCTGCCGGTTAGAGAAGAAAAAGATGTTTAATGTATTTATGTTTTATCATTATTTCGTTAATAATATCCTAGGTTAGTTTTAGGTACTATATCTTGTTAATATTTTATATCTTAAGAGGATCAATCTAAGACATTAACAATCAGTAAAGGATATGATATCTAGGATTCTTGGTTTAAGGTTTTGCTTCAGCCTATATTAATACCTAATGTATACATGAGTTTAATTATTGAATAAACAAAAACAGAGGCACACTAAACATGTATGCTTCACTTAATATTATTTGTTTTTCTGTTTCTTAGGTTTTTTTTTTTTTTTTTTTAATTCAGTCCCAGCAAGGATCCCTCTGCATTTGCATTCTCAAGGAGATTAGTTCTTTTCCTTTTTTCTTCCTTTTTTGAGGGGTGGGGGTGTGGAGATGTTTAATTTCCCTTGCAACAGAGAACGAGATAGGGATGAGAACTTGGAAGGGAAGCCCCACCCTGCCCTGCAAAATCATCAACCCTCAGGACATGTTTTGGTCAACTTTCTGAAAGAGATCAGCACCACGCAAGAGATAGAGCAATATTTGCAAACATAGGATGCTTTAATTAAACAACAATAATTAACATAAAACATACATATCAGCTGAAACATCAGGTCCTGCATGATCATCTCCTTCCTGTTAAAGGAAATAACTGACATCATGTTGGATATCGATAAAGTCTAAACAAAAGGCAGACGCCTAAATAAGATTCAGAGTCAACCTGAAGAAGCTCCCATTTTTCCTTTCTAAGATTTAATATTTCTATATCACCATCATCATATGCAACCTAATCAAGATAGCAAACCACTGTCAGAAACGTACATAAAGAAAAACCACCATGAGTTTTGCTTTCCATAGTTAAAATTGAAGAAAGGGTGAGATTATTTTTTGTCGGGAAAAAAGGGAAAAAGCTGCAGAAAAATAGGGTGGGTGGGGAAGGGGGAGCCTTGTAACTTTCAAATCACCTTGTGCTTCTTTTTGGCAGAATCAAAGGACTCAACGGTACCATTGTAATACCTACAAAAAGGCCATATTTCTGTCAATATATATATGTTTTTGATATGTAATAATAAATAAGAGAAGATAGTCAAGAGCTGGCCGGGGCTAAGTAGGAGAGATTACCGTTAGTAGCTAAAAGTCATAAATAGGTAGCTTAGGGCTAATTGTAATCAGATTTTGGAATAATAGACTTGGCCATTTAAGGAAAGACAAGCAAAATAAACAAGAAAATGACATCTTTGTGCAGAACATGTCTACTGAACAAATTGGTTTGTCACAATAACCACCAACACTTGTGATCTAAGTGATGCAAATAGAGTATAGAAATACAATGACATAATTGGTAGAGGAGGCAAAATTAAAAGGTCATCCATAGGTGAATAACACAGACATCCACAAACAACTATTTATGAAAACTAAGAGACCATAATTCAAAGGAAAGTAGAATAAAACGCACTTTCCCTCATCAAAATTTCCACTGCGATAAAAGAATAGCCAAGTACTTACTCACGATCATCTGGCCACCAAACTTTAACACGTGAGCCCACAAGATTTCCATCATATACCTTGATATCAGACTTCTGAGAAAGCATTTAGATGAATTATCAATCAAGCCGGGAAGAAAATTAAACTTCTGAATTGAGCATAAATGGAAGGAACTCCACATGCTTTGAACTAAAAAACATTATTATTAACACATAACAAGATAAGCCAGCATACACAAAGACTTACAAAACTCATTTCTTACATTTACAATAACTTTAAAATATTTCACAACAAAACAATTCAACACATCATAAAAAGAGCAGAAGAAATACAAGGGAGACCGTATCAAATACTGATACTTCACCACGTTAGCTATGGCCATTTAAATTGGTCAAAAATAGTTGACATAATGGCAAAGGTCTAGCTTAGAAATAACATAGCTGCAGAAGATATGTTTCCATAGCCTAAGTAGCCTAATACATCGTGATATCATGCAGTTAACATTTTGCAATTGAAAGATTAAAAAAATGAAACAGGGAGTCATACATTTTCTTTTCCTGGACCCGGAGTAGGTTTCCTCTTCAAATTGGTCTTGGGTGTTTCCTCCAAACACTGTTCATCTTTAATCAATCTTGTACCTGACTTTGGTGAAGATACAGTTTCCTAGATGATTTCATGACAATTTGATTAATCAATTGACTAAAAAAGAGCAAAATATAGATAATAGTTTGATGAGATGGCAGATAATATCAAAGAAACAGGCTACAAGCAGCAAGCTCTAGAGTTACCTTCTCTCATCTTTAGCAGATTTTGCTACATCCATATCAGAGACATTGTCCTGCTTCTGCCTCTTATTTTCCTTCAGGTGCCTCAAAGAGGATCCGATACCCTTGTTGGTCCCATCTTTCTTAGCTGACCGCCTTTTGCCTTCCTGATCACTCATATTCCCACTTGTTTTTTCAACTGAATCCGCCACATTAGTTTTTTTCCCATTTGAGCCACCACCAGGTGCCTTCTTGGAGGACCGCTTGGTAGGTTTTGCATCTGAATCACTTGTTACTTCTGACACCTTTTTGGTAACATCATCTGAGGAAATTACCACTTCTTTGGCCGGCCTTCCTTTCTTATTTGCTTTTCCAGGCTTTTTGGAACGAATTTCATCAGGATGGCTTTCACTGGGAGAAGCCACAGCTTCAGGCTCATTAGTTCCTACCTTTCCTGATGAAATCTTAGCATGACTCTCCTTGTCATTCTCTGAAGGCCCTGCACCCTCAGTAGCATTGTTTTCATGAAGTGAACTGCAAAGGTCCTTCTTGTTACTTTTAGAGTCAGGCATTTTATCAGCATCCCTGTCACGAGTAACAGCTGAACCCTCAGAAGGTTCTGCCAATTTTGTAGAATGATATTTCTTTCTCCTGCTCCTGGTGGCTTGTACTGGCTTTTGTTCTGTACTGTCAACTTTTTTAGTGCTGACATTATCGGGATCTTCATTGCTTGATATATTCACACCTTTAGAGCGATCAGAATTATTCACATCTTGCTTCTTTAGGGACTTTGGATCTTCCAACACGTCATCTTCACTGGACTGTACAATGCCATTGCTCGTGACGGACTTAGAAGACCTACCATCAACAACAGTGACTTGTTCAGGGGTAGCCTTTTCAGCATCCTCTCCAATCACCTGATCAAAATAGAGTTATAACACATTGCAACACTCAGTCGTAATCCAACATATGCTGAAGGATGAAATGTTGAAGCAAAAGGAAAAAAAGCAGATGCATAAGTACTTGTGTTGACTCATTCAACGTTGCTTTTGCTGACTTTCCCTCATCTGCCTGGAGTCAATATAATAAAACCAGAAGAAAATTAAAAGCTCCCATCAGGGAAAATAAGTTAACTCAAGATTAGTTAACTCAAGAGCCTACCGCATTTTCGCTGGAAGCACATGCATCATTTTGCTCCAAACTGCCAGACGTCTCTTGACATATAGAAGCAAGCACCTTACTATAATCATCTAAAGAAATGCCCAAGTTGGTCACTGCTTGTGCTAAGTACGGTTTAAGCTTTGTTGCACAACTTTCCAGGACTCTCTCCCCCAAATTTTGAGCATTTGGTGAAAATTCCTAAATCATAGTGATAATGGTTTAAATCTTAGCAATGAAGGCAAGTTTTATTCAAAATCATAATACCTGAAAACAAATAAAATCAAAATGATCTAACTAAAACCTCATTGTCTTTCTTCACACTGGCTAAGATCGGAGAAAGCAGATCCATAGATATCTCTTCACTTTCCTCAATAACAAGGGTCATAATAGTCTCAATGGATGATAAAACATTTTCTGGATGATGTCCCCTGAAGTTTCAAATGGAGCTGCTCAGCACCATGTCCATATATATATGTATGTGTCACTAGATAAAGACGTATGGGAGATAAGAACATAAACTGCTGAATGCTTATAAGACCTTTTCTGCTGGAAAAAAAAAAACTACGACCATATAAAATCTGTTAGTGAAGACACAAATTTTAAAAAAAAACATGATCATTGGTATATCATAATAGAACTTTTCACCTTATTTCATCTATTAGTACAAACAAACTTCAACAAGAAAAACAAAGTCAGCCTTCTACAGAACTGGAATTTTACATGCCCTTCCAAAATTAAGATAGTACACTGATAAATCAGTGGGATTTTAGCACAAATGTTCTCCTGTGCAAACAATATAACTACCAACAGTCAATACCTGCCAGCAAGGAGTTTATTGAAAGATTACAAGCACAAGAAGCCGAAGGAACTCAGAGTGACACAATAGTCATCAGAACAAAATGAAGCATCACCTTGATGCTAGTCGGATTTCATTTTATGGCACAATGTTGCGTTTCTTTAGTTGTTCATATATAAGGAAGAGGAGAATCAGTGATTTACATCTTTATCATTAGATAAATGGATTAGTCAAATCCAATAGATAACATTCAAGAGACAATGGTTAAATCAATTACAAGGACCTTCATCCACCATTCACATTTGGTCACCTAGAAATTTGCCAAAGCCTCCATCTTACTATAACACATCCAAAATTTTATACAGGACAGCTCAACAGAACATACAAAACTACATTACAAATGCAATAAATTCTAGCACATCAGTATTCACAGACTTCTGAAAATAAAGTTAAAGCATAAATATACAATGACAAGCATAAGATACTGTCTTTATGCTGGATTCATACTCCACAGATCTTACCTAACTGCGTTAAAGAAATGCTGAAACATCTCTACAATCAGGGCGTCACACTCAAGATCTAGCATTACCACACATGATCTGACCTTTGCGACGGTTTCAATAATGGATGTTCTCCTAGCATATGATGGGCTTGATGTATCATATAGATTCTCAAATGAAGATACAATCAATTGAAACACCTCCTGCAAGTAATTATGGCGTTAAAATTTCTTAATTAAAATAATTAATTACATAACAAAGGCCGGGTCAATTGAATCTAAAGGGGGGAAATTATAGAGCACACCTTCATTTGATCATCATCATAAGGAGCATCAGGTGCAGTTATCCTTGTTATTTCAGTGATGCAAGAAGCAACCGCCACCTTCACATCATTATCTGGATGCCTCAAAAGTTCATCAGCAACTAATGCTTTCAAAGATGGTGAGATCGCATTTTGCATAGATTTTGTTGGAGACTGTTCCACCCTTGATAGGTAACTCTCAATTTGCTACAATTTCAAAAAAAAAAAAAAACAATAATAATAATAATACACGTGCTTGTGGAAATGTCTTCTCTAACATGCGCAACCCCATGCAAATTACTTTTGGGAATGAATGCATAACAATAAATAGGACATAGCGTAATAGTAGCAGCAACAGTTCTCAAATGCTTTAGTATGTGGCACAATCACATACGGCCGCACAACCTGCTTTGTAATGTAATGCATCTTGTTTCTTTAGTTAAAAAGGAGCTGCTCATTCACGTTAGTGTAGACGCCAGACAAAAGAGCATATGAAAAAACATATCAATATACCTAATATAGTTCATCTAGACAGCAATAGAGTAATAAAATAAAATATATATACACGCACACGCATAAGATAAACCAGGTATACTGTTAAAAGTTGGAACATAAGTCATGCCAGCTTAATAACAACTATAGTATTTCTAATTGGATTTAATAATCAATTTAAAAAAAAAAAAAAAGCAGTAGAAAACTTAGGAGTCTAAGCATCATCCCAAGAGATCACCCTCTTTTTTGCTACAAGCAATACCATCCCAGAGATAATTGTCAGCACTCAGCAACCCCTTAATTTCATACCCTTCAGGGTCTTAATAAGTTTGACTGCTATTTAAAAAAAGAAAAGAGAAGGACGCATGTTACATATGCTCGGTATTAAGAGTCTGGCAATCTATAAAAAACTGAAAAGGCTCAATACAGCACCCTCGATTTGATCATCTTACTCTACTCACCTAGTCAATAAATGCTTGCATTAGAAATATTTGTAATTCCTTAAGCAGCAAGATACGAAGTATATATCCCAGAATACTGATGATAAAATTCACAATTGAATTGCAGGTGAATGTAAGAATTGTGTGTGTGTGTGTGTGTGTGTTTATCAAAGCATTTATCCAAAAACGTTTGCGCTATATAACATCTCTCCCGAGCAGGGATAGCCAAACGGGGTTGGCTGAAACAAGTCGAAGGAAGATTAAAACGTCAGAACCTAAACAATTCCAGATGCTTGTTTACAATTCCAGGAAAGCCGGCGGAAGTGATTCATTTTCCGAAAGCATCTATAAAAATGGAAACCATATGGAAACTAAGGGGGATGCAACGGTGAAAATTTCCCTTGATCCTAAGATAGATTAACAAAACACGGGAACCCTGCCATTAAAAATGCGATACATGATAGTCCTTACCACCAAAAACACCCTATATCCCCAGAAGATGACGGCCTAACGAAAACAAAAACCCCCAGAACGCGAGTAAGGCTTCGACTAGCAGGGAAAAACCCAAGAAAACAGAAATTGAAAGGAAACAAAAGACCATGCTTACATCAAGAAGGGGCAGGAGCTCGTCGACAGAAGAAGGAGGATCTACGAGCTTATTTCCAGCTTCACGGAGCTGCTCTTCGAGCTCTTTGTCCGCAGATGCCATCGGTACTGCGTGGGTCTCTTTCCCTGGATCTTGGAGGGCTCTCCACTGGTCTCCGCTGCTTCACTCCATCGAAGACCTCGAAATAGCCGAATTGAAGTGAAACAGAGCCGGTTTATGACAGTTATTGGGTGGTTTTCTGGGATAACACAATAAGTTAGGGTTTTTCTGAACTTTTTGGTACTAACAGAAGAGAGCGGAGATAATGTGAATTTTGACGAGAGTGTCTTCCGTAAAATACTAACGACCCTGTACCATCGATCTCAGCCAGTTCAGATTGTATTGCCATTTTGCGTTGTGGGCATTACGGGAGCCTAACTTGGATTTGGCGGGTTCCTGAAATTGGGTTAAATTTGAGAGATAGAATCCGCCTTTGAATTTTCGGTTTCCATCAGACACGTGACTGTCGCGTGCTAGCAACCTCTTTTTAATCTCCTGGCCAAATTTAAATGATGGTAGATTGGGCTGGGCGTAATTGTAATTATACCTTAGTTCTGTGGCAAGAGATTTGTTCTCGCCACATGCTAACGTTTTCAATTTGCTACTTCACTGTTATCATGCAACATGATATTACAATCGAAGATGGCTTTTTAAATTTAGAAATTATACGTTTGATCATCGTCGTTTTCCTTTTGGGCTACAACCTTTGCAATTGAAAAGGATGAATAAGAAAATATCTTTTGCACTGCTCAAACAAAAATCCCCTGGCCAAGTTTTGAGGTTGTTCCCAGTAGTTTCATGTGGCTTTTAAGCTGCCATGACAAAAAGTAGTCGTGTAGGGTGAGAATTGGATTCCATTGCATGGATAGGAGGTTTCTCTGTTTTCTCCAAGTATCTCGTGCAAGGACGGAGTTGGGTAGCTTTTGAAATTTAAGGGCGATTCCATAATGCACAGTCTCAAATTTATCTGTAGGCAGATTTATGGGAGCTACCTTCAAAATAGGCTGCACAATGCAATTCTCATATAACTCTACCATGCGGCATTACTTTGCAGTTCTCGCGATGCAATTCTAGTTTTTTTTTTTTTTTTATGGGATATCTACAGTCTTTTGCAGATTGTTAGACCTCTGCCGGGAACTTCTGCTTAACAAGCCGAGACCATTGAGAGTGGAACAATTATTAGACTGCAGCACATGACGAAGACAAGGATTTGTACAGCCATTTATATGCATTATTGGTAACAGGCAATCTTGAGGTTAGTGGAAGTTTATTGGCAGTGTATTACTATATGTTTTATGTTTTGCTAGCGTAGCATTTAAATTCTTTCGAGTGGACTTACAAATAAATATAGAGAAAAGTGAGTAATGTAATAGATATGAGGACTATGCTATGAGTTCCCATTCATACAATATTCAAAATACCACGGTTTGCACTTTTGTCTTTGTATGCTTCTCATACACTTGGCAAGATCTGAGATTGCACTTGGTCGCCAGATGCTGTAAGCAACATGTTACAGGTGAATAAATCCCTGCCTACCTCCCTCTCCCCTCTCTCTCACACGCACGGGGATAATTATTTATTTGTATGATGCCCTTTAGCTGTGGGGTGAGTTTCTGGCATTGTAAATGAACTGTGAATGGTTAACTGATGCTCAAAGGCTTTAATCTCTTTACTTTTTCCTATGCCTATCCTGCCTCTCTGAAGGGTAACAAGACATACACTTGACTGCTCCAGATCTTGTGATCGATTTTTTCAGATTTACGTTTTTTATTAACCTAGAATGTCTATGATATCTGCATTATGAGTTTGACCTTTCTTGTATGTCTAATATATACACTTCGTGTTTTCCTAGATCTTGGTGAAAACAAGGGCCGAATCTCACTCTAATTCATGCTGTTCTAAAATCGGTACTATTTTAATGTGCTTCCACTTTCAAGTTTTTTGGACACGAGTACAGATCAACTTCCCTATAATGAATTATCGAATGAGTTATCTATTTCTGATGGTATTGGATTCCCATTGCATATATGCGATTTAAGCTGTGATTAGAATAAAATTATTGCCACACATGTTATAGTACCAGTACATGATGTGATATTATTAACTAGAATAAACTATAGGTGAGTTGCTGTGGATGAGAGTCGAGTCAGATCCAGTGACTATTAGAGGTGAGACGTGATATATGATTTGAAGACGAGGTAATTGCATTTTCAACTTCATGCCAACGTTGGTTTCATTTTGAGTGGGCTCTTAGTAGGAGGGAGTGAGAAGGATCAAAGAACCCGATGCCAACATGTGGACGTAGAAGCCTAACTGCAAAGTCATGATAAGAAATATACTCGGATTGCTTGGGGACAACAGGAGGTAAGTAGCAAGTTGGAAACTAGAAGCCAAGATCATTTATTCAAATACTTGCTTTAGCGTTATTTCTAATGTTACTTTCGGTCCTCTAAATATAAGATTAACTTTGTCCTACATATTATATCACCAAAGTGAATCTTATTTTTATGACCGGAAGTAGTACGTCAATTGCTAAATTTGATCTGACAGGTTTGTGGTATGCGTTTGAAAATTTTTGGTGGCTACTCACTACTCCCAGTTCTAGAGGGAGATATACATTGACTATTGAATATGTTTTGCTTGATTAATATTACCGTTATTTTGGGGTCACATGCTTTAAAGCCATAGATGGATTTTGATTTCTGTCTCTTTCTTTTTTGGCCTCCCCTTCTGCAATCTTGAAAAATTCAATGCATGCCCACATTGAGCAAATGAAAGGAAGAGCACAACTCAGTGTACCTCCAGATACTTGTTGATAATTGGAGAAAATCACAATGTGAACAACCTAAATATGGGTAGAAGCACCTTGTATCAAATTTGATCAACGACCATATAAGGACCAAGGTTGTAATAAAATTCTGGGTATCATTGAGATAACAGAATAGTCTTATGCCATGCCTGTGTGGGTTTATACCTGTAGAGTCATAAAAAGGATCTTTTAAAGAGACATGGACATTAGGATGGAATCCACGTATGAATTCTACACTGGACCTCACTTTCACATCTCGTTGCCTCTCTTTCTAGATTATCTCCTAGATGAAAGTGCGCGCGCGTGATGATCCTTCAGAAGCTTTTACCCTTAAAAGGTATGCTTTTCTTTTTGCTAATTGCTCAATCGGCGGTTGGTTGCTGAGAATAACATTTTGCAATCATTCTATCAGTTTCCTCCTATGACCTTTAGCTTCTGCTCATTTTCAAAGCTTTTATTTACTTAATATATCTATACGTTCAAAGGGTCACCGTCTGCATAAAAAGAGCTGAAATCATACCATACTCTCCCTTTACTCCTGGAAAAGCAACAAAAATGGAACCACGTAGTCCCACAAGACATTTATTGTTGAAAGCATTGAATTAAAGGTAATTGCACTAACTGTGACAACTCTGCGGAGGGTGTAGAGAACTTAAGGGTTTGGTGATAAGTCTAGGGTTATTGAAAACTAAGTTGTTTTGGCAATGTTCTTTCAACGTAGGCGGACTTCATATTGTACTGTTGGATGCTTATTTATTTATTTCACATAGACAGGCTTACCATGTCATTCCCATTTTGTGGATCTCATATGATGTACAGTCCTGCTGTCCTTGACTATTGTACAAATGAAGTAGCACCATGTGCGGTACTTTAATAATTTCCTACACCCTTCTTGTATTTGATATATCACGTAGCATAAACAAGCATAAATTTAGTGTTCTCATTTGGCTAAACACCCAGAAATTTCCTTCTGTGTTGCACAGTACTATAGTGGCAATTACTCTTCAGGTGTTCAAGTTTTTACCCTAATGTATCATGAAGCTTCAGAGCCATTTTCTGATTTTTGCACATTATCTATGAAACAAATTGTCAGCTTTCGTTTTCGTCGCTCTAACTGACTGTGCTTGAACTCTGTCTTTCACAGCAAATATAACTTGAGAGTCACAAAAACCATAAACCAATAATCACTGTAGCTTAGAATGTTTACCCAAGAGTCAGAGAAAAAATAAAGCAGCCATCAGGAAGTTACAGGTTACTGAACCCCACAAAACCTAACATGGTTAAGACGAAATGGCATTGATATTTTTTTGCAAAGAACAGGTCAGCTCTCAACAACTAGATCCCACGTGGGATCTTTCCATTCCCCTTGAGATCTGTGAGGAGCTGCTGTAAGAAAATGGTTCAGTGAAATAGGTCTCGGCATTAAACAGGCAGTATTTAATGGCGTACTTAAACTAATAGAGGTAAGGGGGTTAATAGCTTACAGATCCCACTGTGAATGCCTAATTAATTCCATAAGCTCTTATCATTTAAAGATTCCAAAAGACTTGACACATGGAATCGATAAACTATAAAAGGAAATAATTGCAGTAAGAGTCCCTGCTAACGTGGGAGATAAAATCATGCTCTATAACATCAATTAGAAATAGTGAAATGTCACTCACAAAAGAAAAAAAGGAAAAGTAAAATAGCTATGTCTTTAGTAGGACACTGGCAAGAAATAAATGTTTCCATGACTTGAAAGCAACAAGGGAAGAATCTCTCAAGCAGAAAATAAGACTCGTATATTTATCGTTATTTTAAAATATTTTAAAAAGAAACTTGACAGTAACATTTTTTCGTCCAAGCATCTTGAATTTAGAGTTGTCAGTTATGAACTTGTGATTTTATCCTCCAGTCATGTCATACCACCGATAGATACGAATCCCTCCAAAATGATCACTAGAATTTCGATCGTGCCTTCAGGTCTGAAACAGAAAGCTTTCATGTTTAGAGGATTGGCAATCATATTGAATACATAGAATCTGCCACTGAGACCCACTCAGAAAGAAAAGCAAGCAAAGAAGCACTTGGATTATTATATGTTATTAATAATTAAAATTATCAATATTTTACATGTGCTAGCAAATAGCTACAGGATCAAAAGCTCAGTAAAATTATGATTTTAAGAAAATCAACTACATGGTTTATCCTCTTCAAATTCGACATCCCCTTCATCAACTAAAAATGTTCAAAACGACAGGCTCTTTGAAGTCGAACTTGAAGTGAGTGACTTGAAATGTTCTGATGGAACAAACTCCTGAGGGATGTTAGCCCTCTTTACAATTTTCCTCATGTTGTTCTGCAAACTCTGTCGGACTAACTGCTTCACTGCTTTCTTCTCCTCGCTCATCATCTCCTCCTCTCTCTCCACGAACCTTCTAACACCTTCGTGAGGCTTTGTACAAGATGATGAAGAGCCACACATAGGAGCAGAGACATTTGCATGTACAACTCCCGAAAACCTGT